ATCAGATAAGTGCATCGAATCCAGCCATGCACTGATTGAACCCTCAAGACTTCATTCACTTCATTGCTACAGTTTTTTCTTTTGATTGGGACTCGTAGCCTTTTGTTTTGATTTAAGTTTTAATTCTACCAAACTTTTGTTATTTTTAGATCACTTTATGGCCCTATCATTCAGCTTTAATTGATTGTATTACTCCCTCCATGGTTTGTGGTTGATTATTTGTGCTGTGACTCCGTTTTTTTCCTCTTCCAGCATTAGTGATTATTGCAGGTTGTTTGGATAGTAGTAAATTGAGATGGCTAAAAATACTAGTGAATCCACCATTAGTTCCCAGGCACCTCAAGGAGAGAGTCCTATTGTAACCATTATTTCTGAGAACCTCAATCCTAGCCTTAAAATCACCACATTTCTGTTTAATCGCCAGAATTATCTTGCTTGGTCACAGTGTCTGACTCTTTTTCTAAAAAGTAGGGGGAAGATGGGATATGTTGATAGGAGAGTTTAAGCACCAGATATTACTAATCCTGACTATGATCAATGGGAGAATACCAACTTTTTTATCATGGGGTGGCTCATTCATTCCATGGTCCCTGAGATTGGTGAATGTTACTTATCCATGAAAACTGCCGAAGATGTTTGGGAGGCAGTAATTGGTACATATTCCTAGAAAAGGAATTTTTCTCAGTCATTTGAGTTGCGTCGGTCTATTGATTGCTTAATGCAAGGGAAGCAGACAGTTCTTCCATATTTCACATTTCTGATTAATGGTTAGAAACGCCTAGATCATCTCTTGGATTACAAGTCTGTCTGCATAGTTGACTCAGTTGCTTACCGGAAGTTTCTTACACAAGAGAGGGTCTTCAAGTTCCTAGAAAGCCTTAATGTGGAGTTTGATCTGGTTCGGAGTCGTGTCCTTGGCATGGATGTTTTTCCATCACTTCAGGAGGCCTTTACTTATGTCCATAATAAGGAGAGTCGTCGTTCTGCTATGTTACCACTGGCTTCTACAGACCGTTCAACATTACTTTTTGCTTCTTCTCGGAATGGAGCTGGTTTGTCACTTTTTTCTTCTCATCCTTCAGGGAAGGATAATCTGTTCTGTGATTACTGCCGCCGACTGAGGCATACTTGTGAGACTTGTTGGAAGCTTCATGTTACTCCATCAGGGGGTTAAGGGGATCGCTCTAGTCATAGACGCGGCCATTCTAGTCAATCAAAAGGACGTGGGTCTTACTTTTGTGCTCATCAGTCCAGTGCTATAGAGATATATGATTCAGCTCTGATTATGCAGACTTCTAATCGAGGCTCTAGTATGTCATCTTCTAAGTTTGAGGATGCTTTGTGTAATTTGCTTGATTGCCGGTCTTCTGTTCCTCCAAGTGCATCTTCTTCTTCTTTTTCGTTTACCCGTTTAAGTAACTTAGCCTCATCTTTCAATGTTTTTCTATCCCATAAGGCCTTGCCATGGATTATTATTTCTAGTGCCTCAGATCATATATCTGGGTCTTCTGATCTCTTTTCAAACCATACACCAACCTCTAGTCAGGATAAAATTAGGATTGCTGATGATATTATTTCTTCTATCTCTAGGAAAGGTTTAATTCGTGCCACCCCTTCTCTACCTTTGTCTTCTATTTTACATGTTCCTAATTTTTCTGTTAACTTATTGCCATTAAGTCGTATTACTCGGGATCTGAATTGTAGTGTAACTTTTTTCCCCTGATTCTTGTCTTTTTTAGGACCTTATCATGAAGGAGACAATTGGCAGTGGTAGAATAGAAAATGGTCTTTATATCCTAGATCAGACTGACAAGCTAACTCATCATTCCATCCAGTCTCCATCCACCAAGGAAGATTTATGGCTGGGGCATCGATGTCTAGGACATCCATCTTTTTTATTACTTAGGCATTTATTTCCTTTTGTTTTTATCAAAAAAAAAAAGTTTCTAGGTTTTATTGTGAGTTCTGCCAACTTGACAAACAACAACGAGCTTCTTTTGCTCATAGTAATAATAAAAGTTCAGTTTTTTTTCTCTAATTCATTCGGATGTTTTGGGGTCCCTCTCGTGTGATGTCAATGAAGGGTCATCGATGATTTGTTACTTTTATAGATGATTGCCCTCGTACTACTTAGGTGTACCTCATGAAAGAAAAAAGTGAGGTTTTCTCTATGTTTCAAAACTTCCATAAAATGATTAATACCCAATTTGAGGCAGTTGTCAAGGTGTTATGTTCTGATAATAGGGGTGAATACATTGATTCTAGGTTTTGTGAAATATTTTTCCACTCATGGCATTATCCATCAAACATCTTGCACTGGCACCCTTCAACAGGATGGGGTTACCAAGCGCAATAATCGTCATCTCCTTGATATGACTCGCTGTTTGTGTTTTCCTATAGACGTACCTCGGGCCTATTGGGGGCAAGGCTTTTCTCACTGCTGCCTATTTCATTAACCATCTTCCTACAAAAGGGTTACAAAATAGGGCACCTCTTCAAATTCTCTTAGGTTCTAAGTCTTTGTTTTCCATTCCTTCAAAAACCTTTGGCTATGTATGTTTTGTTCACAATCATTCTTCTTCTTGGGGTAAGTTGGATCCTCGTTCTCTTAAGTGTGTGTTCTTGGGTTACTCTCCTACTAAAAAAGGGTACAAGTGTTATCATCATCCCTCTCATAAATGGTTTGTGTCCATAGATGTCACCTTCTTTGAGTCTCAATCATACTTCTTGTCCGATCCTGTGTCCCTGTCATCTATTCAAGGAAGTCTTTGAGTAAAGAGAGTCTTGTTGCTCCCATTGTTCCTGGCCCAATACCGCCACCAGTGGTACCTATTACTAGGAATACAGAATCCGATGTTAGCCAAGAACAAAGAAAGGCAAGTCTATGTCAAGATAAAGAAAGGTAGAAAGTTACTTGGATACAAGAGACCATTTCTAATCAATCACTGTCGTCTCATCCTCTTAATGAAGGTCCAGGTAACCCTGAAACTCTTGATATTGCTACCTTTGAGTCTGAGCCTACTGATCTTGATATACCCATTGCCAAGAAAAAGGGTGTAAGATCTTGTACTCATCATCGTATTTCTAACTTTGTGTCTTATTCTCATTTGTCCTCTTCATATAAAGCCTTTGTGTCAAAAATTTCCTCTGTTAGTACACCTAATCATTTTTAGGATGCTTTTACTATTCCTGAGTGGAAACTAACCATGGTGGAGGAAATGAAAACACTTCATAAGAATGGCACTTGGGATTTAACTAAGTTACCTAAGGGAAAATGAACAGTGGGATACAAATGGATATACACAGTGAAACACAAGGCAGATGGTTCAATTAAATAGTATAAGGCTAGACTTGTGGCAAAGGGCTTTATTTAGACCTATGGAGTGGACTACCAAGAGACATTTGCTCCAGTTGCAAAAATGAATTCAGTTAGAGTGCTTCTTTTTCTTGCAGCTAATCTGAATTGGCTATTTCACCAATTTAATGTGAAGAATCCTTTTCTTCATGGTGACCTGGAAGAAGAGGTGTATATGGATATTCCGTCTGGTTTCGAAGCTCCTCAAACAAAAGGTAAGGTGTGTCGACTACGGAAATCCTTATACGGTCTTAAACAGTCTCCTAGGGCCTGGTTTGAAAGGTTTATTCAAGCAATGCTAAAATATGACTTCAAACAGAGTCAGGTTGATCATACTCTATTTGCTAAGCATTCCTCACATGGTAAGACCATTGTTTTTATTGTATATGTGGATGACATAGTGCTAACTAGAGATGATGAAGAGGAAATTTTTCTGTTGAAAAGGTATTTGGAAAGTGAGCTTGAAATTAAAGACTTGGGGAACCAAGGATGGAATTCTTATCTCATAAAGAAAATATGTGCTTGAGCTTTTGAAGGGAACAATGATGCTTGGATGTAAGGCTTGTGATATTCCACTAGAACTTAAGCAGAAACTTGGTGATGATGGAGGGAGAGCAGCTGTTTATAGGGGGAGTTATCAGAGACTAGTGGGTAAGCTCATTTACTTATCTCACTCTCATCCTGATATTGCTATTGTTGTCAGTGTGGTTAACCAGTTTATGCATGCTCCTCATGAAATTCACTTGACGGTTGTTATGAGAATTCTGAGGTACTTGAAATCTTCACTTGGAAAAGGTCCTTATTTTTCCAAACATGATCACCTCCGTGTAGAAGCCTATACAAATGCTGATTGGGCAGGGTCAATAACTGATAAGAGATCTACATCAGAGTATTGTACCTTTGTTGGGGGGGGGGCAATCTTGTTACTTGGAGAAGTAAGAAACAGAATGTGGTGACTAGGTCGAATGCAAAGGTTGAGTTTAGAGCTATGGCATAAGGTGTGTGTGAGCTCTTGTGGATCAAGATGTTGTTGAAGGATCTGAGGATTGGCCAGACAGACCCCATACGGCTATATTGTGATAATAAGGTTGCCATCAACATAGCTCATAATCCTATTCAACATGACAAGACAAAGCATGTTGAGATTGATCGTCACTTCATCAAGGAGAAACTCACTAGCGGCATGATATGTACTCCTTTTATGAAGTCCAGCGAACAACTTGCAGACATCCTCACCAAGGGGGTGGGAAGTAAAATATTTCATGATATTCTGAGCAAACTAGGAATGAGAGACATCTATGCACCAGCTTGAGAGAGAGTGTTATAATATTACGTTATGATTTGATTTGATTTAGCTGTAATTTCCTTATTATGGACTTTTCTTATTTGTGCCTTAGGACTTCCATTGTAAGCTACATGTTATTAATATAAAAGCGGATGATTGTCAAATTATTCCCTAAGTTTGTTCTTCTCTCAAACAAACAAACAAACCCTACTTATATAACTCATGCGAAGTAACTATCCTCGTTTTCCATAAAAAAAATAAATAAGCACAAACAAAGCCTAATTTTAGTCTCATATAGTCTAAGACTAGAGACTTAATCTGACATGCAAAAAGATTCAAGTCGACAAATTTCAAGCCAATCTATTCAAAGTCATCGGTTAATGAATTTAATTTTGGTGGCTTCAGAGAATCAACATCCAAAACTGGCACAAGGAAACCAAAAACAAGAATTAAGAGTCCGTACATGGAAATTGAAGCGCTTGGATTGACGAAGTTGCTTGGAATTTCTCCACTTAGTTTGTTAAAGCTGAGGTCCCTGCAAGAGATCATAAAGAAAAAGATATTGAATGACTTTTGAAAAGAATTGTATTTCTATAAAATGGAAACTTTGAAGCAGATAATCACTACAATGAATTGAAATTTTCAACCCAACAGGATTAATTGAAGATCTTTGCAGCATGATAGAGTCTTTTGGCAAAACAACACATACTCAATTGATCAATGGCATGCCTTTATCTTTGAATGATTTATAAAACATTTGTCCATGGTACTATGAACCGTTGTCAATACAAGTTTCTTTTCTACATTATCTAGTTTGTCATAATTCTAAATTTTATAAAATGATTCAAAATTTGAATATATCATCACATTAACACTAGTAGTTGCACATAAACACATGCTAATGGAGGTTCCTCGAATCATTAGATATCTAATCTACAGAGTAAAAAAACTTTTGTTGTTTCACTGCTATATAAAGTTTAATACATTACATACGAACACAAAATAGGCAATTCATAAGACATTTTACGATACTAAATTATTTCAGATTAAACCAGTAACAGCCCAAAAAACTCTTTCAAGAGAACTCACAACTACTATTACATATGCCAATATGGGGGGAGGGGAAGGTACAAAAATATACTAACAAAGTTGTTAAATTGTTCATTGTCTCAAGATACTCTGGTAAGCTTCCAATAATGTTGCAACTTTTTAATATCCTGCAATGCGATCAAGCATACATGATTTCAAGTCACCAGGAGGACATTTGAAAATTCTTTTTAAGGTAGTGATATAGAAGCATTCAACTTACAGTGACTGCAGGTTTCTCATGTTATTGAGGGGTGGAAAGGTAGAAACTTTAGTTCCATTCAAGTCACTAATTCTTCTGCATATTGTATTTCAACCAAAAACAATACAAACATTGGCTACCAAGAAAATTACTAATCAAACACCAATGCACACAATATGGATAAAAGTTGAGGGAGTAAAAGATTTATCACTGACAATTTAGTCATATTTGTCATAACAGCAATGCCAGAAGGAATTGGACCATCCAAACCACTAGCCTGGATAAATCTGCCATTACCATATGTTTATTTAAACAAGTTGTAAAGTGAAAAACAAGTGACATCAAAACACATCAAGGCCTCACAAATTTTGAAGATGTATCCAATTTTGGACGAAATTGGGTATGCTTCCTGTAAAGAGGTTGTCCCCGATCTGACTGCATTGTGGTAAACAATAATTGAACAACAGATTTCAAAATATAAACATTAAACTCCCACAAAAAAGAACAAAAAAAACTTATAGAAACTCACAAATCCTTCAAAGTGGTCAGCTTTGCTAGTGTTCCTGGCAACTCCCCATAAAAATAATTCGACGTCAAGCTCCTTTAAAAAAAAAAAACCAAAATAGAGTTCAATTAACCCACTAGATTGCCCCAGTGAAGAGGACCTATGACTCTCATAAACAATGTAATGGATTCAATAGTCAAGGATGAATGTTAAAGTTCATTTCACACTCCCTTTTGAGTCCAGCCAGGGTTATGCCCAACAATTACAAAGTACATATATTTTGACGGAATATTACATGTACCAGGGATCGGGAATTAGTTGGGTGAAGCCTTGAACACACTCTTGAGTGAATCATATAGATATATACTAGTAGGTTTGTGCCCACCCGATGGGTGTGTTTTTAAATCTGTAAAATATAAAGTTTGGTTTTGATGTTGTATGCAGCTCAAGTGGTAAAAATGTTGTTTCTCAGACCAAAGGTCTTGGCCTTGTTACATAATTTCATGTTTTAAATAGACTATAAGGGCATTTTCGAAAATGAAAATGTCACATTGTGTCAACACCATAAAAAGTCTTTAGTTTACAATAGTATAGTATAGATAGATAGATAGATATATCGAAAAGATCTTAACTTCAGTTGCCAACAAATTGAAACTCCACAAGCATTTATTAGACTGGGGCGTAAGTTGTAACAATATATTTCAACAGTGTTAATTAGAACTAGTAAATTTATTTAACAAGTGAATGACCCATCTCTCCATCACAGACAACAAATAAAAAAATAAAAAAATAAAATAACTATGATACCACATCTTCACCAACACGTGGTATCCAACAATGAGCTACCAAGTATGAGGGCAGTTACAAAAGTAATTATTTAGAGTAGGTAGCTACATTTCAATTCTGGATTCACTTTTCCATGTATAAGTTTATCATTGGCTAATAATACCAAGAGTCATTGATGAGTGATATCATATTGAATTTTTTACTCGTACTTCTCTCCCTCTCTATGAGGTGACTTTCACCACCACCACAACTCTTACAAGCCCCCATACAAAATACAACAAATACAAACATCTACAAACACATCGATAATAGCACTCCATGTCCACAAAGTGGCTTAAAGTGTAGAAATTGAAGTATACATGTTTGGGCTGAGAACATTTTTCTGCATTTTTCTAACGCTATATTTAGTTAGGGGATTTGGGAAGAGGTTTGGAAAGGAAAAGGGAAAAGATAGGTGAAATGTGAATAAAATATACCTATATTTTATACAGTTTCACACACCTTTTCCATTTTCTTTTCTAAATCCCTTTCCAAATCTTTCAACCAACATAGCATAAAGACCTCAATAATGCTTCCATGGACTATCCATTTGGCAGAATAAGCTAAAATTATTGAGTTCCCTAGCATAACATCTTCTCTTTTACACATTTTGTGTCAAACAATAGGATCGCCCTATTGAAAGCATTACTTACCCACAAGTGAATTGACAACAAACATGTCACAAACAAAGCCCAATTTGATTACTATACCATGATTATTCATACAATTCAAGTGATCCAAAAGGAACCCCGTTTGTAACATAAACACCAATCATGGCATTCCACGTGAAAATAGTTCTTTGGCACATTCTATCAAGCACCTCCTCTACTTAGATTGGGTATTGGGTTAGCTGTGAGGGGGGTGGAGGAGAGCGGGGAAGCAGTGTGGGTGGTCAGTGAAGGGATGGCGAGGAAGCCTTGTAAACTGCATCTCTCTCTCTCTACTATTTTCAAGTTCTGTAGTTTGTGGGTACTGTTGAGCTTAGAGGTGAAAGAATGGAAAAAGGAGATGTAACGTCCCAACCCTTCACATGTCATCAATATTGTCTGCTTTGGGTCACGCCCGCACGGATTTGTTCTTCCTAGTGGGTCATCCATCCCAGAATTACTCCAGCCTAAGCACGCTTAATTGGGGAGTTCTATTGGAGATCTCACCATCCTAGAAAAGGCCTCGATGCTATATAAGGATTTAGGATTTTACTTTTATAGTCTAGAAACTCCCCCTCCATTCTCGATGTGGGACACCGAGACCTTAAAATCTACCCTCCTTAAGGTTGTACGTCCCCGTACAGTAGCCTGCCAGCTCACAGGCCCGCCCACATGCACCGAGAGATGCCAGGGGCCCACACTCGGTACTCCAAAGAGTCGGCTCTGATACCATTTGAAACATTCCAACCTTTCTCATGTCATCGATATTGTCCGCTTTGGGCCACACCCACATGAATTTGTTCTTCCCAGTGGATCACCTATCCCAAAACTACTCTAGCCTAAATACGCTTAACTAGGGAGTTCTATTAGGGATCTCACCACCATAGAAAAAACCTCGATGCTATATAAGAGTCTAGGTTTTTACTTTTATAGCCCAGAAACTCCCCCTCTATTCTCGATGTGTGACACCGGGACCTTACAGGAGATTAATGAAGATGGCCAGCACCGTTTATCTAGGGCACTGTGCGCGTGCTATGTAGCCTTCTTTTTCGGTGATGCCAATGGTGTCTGGTGGGTATCTCGTGTGGTAGTGGGGAGTCGAAGTAATGCTCCGTTTGGATTGTAGGTAGGAAAAGTTTTCAATCGGGGTGTATTTGCAAATTGATTATTTTAATTGTTTTTTTTTTTAAATTTTTATAAAAAAATGTAAAATATAGAGAATGATGTGATAATTTATATTGATTTTTTTAAGGAAATTTACAATTGCCCTCTCATTACCCTCTCTCTTGCCCTCTTCAGTCACCACTATTTAACTGCCATTGGCAACCCCTTTCCTATCTCGACAAGCCATCTTCGGCGCTAAGCCCTACTGGTGATTTCCCTCCCCAACCTCCTTCCTCCAACGGCGACCTCTCTCAATCGCCCCTTGCCGCCTTCTCTTCCCTCTCTTGTGCATCACCCCTGCTACATCGTAACCCAGCCATGTCGTTGCCCATGCTTGCTCATTACTTCTCGTTGTCGCAATCACCCCCTGCTCACCATTGCTGTTGCGACCCAGTCATGCCAATCTCAAACCAGGTCTGGAGATTTCCAAATCTTAAAAAGTGTAGAATGAGAAGAAAAAGGTAAGGGAGAAAGGGAGGGAGGGAGAGAGAGAGAGAGAGAGAAAGAGTAAACTGATAATATTTTCAATTTTAAAACTAAAAAAAATTGATAAATTTGTCAAAACTGATAATATTCTCAGTTAATACTAAAAAAAAAAATTGAGAAATTTCTTAATTTTGATAATTGTAAACTGAAATCATTCTCGATTTTGGAACTGAGAACATCTCAGTTTTTACCTACAAACCAAATCTCCAAATCTCAAATCCAACATTCTCAATTTTGATTTGTTTTGATTTTAGTATTCAGTTTTATTTTGTTACATATTGCTTCTGAGTTTATTAACCGTTCATCATTCAAAGTACTATTTACTGATTTTCTTGGATTTAACGTTTTTGACGTGATCTACCAAAAGAGCAAGAATGCTAATTGCATTCCAAAATGGGACTTGTGAGTCCAAAAACTGTTACACAGGACTTGAGCTACCACACCTCCTATCATTAGGATTTTTAGGTAATTAATCCATTTTTTTTATTATAATAAGTCTCCAAAACTGGCCTAAGTAAAAGCAAATTATGAGAGAAGGATATGTGTAAGATTTATTTTTCTTTCTATACTTTTTAAGATATAATTTTGATTTTATAAATATTTTATAATTAATTAATTTGTTTCTCACCAATTTTTATTACTCTTGATGAGTAATAAAATATACTCTATAATAGAGTTTATTATCTTATCATTTCTTACATAATTTATAAACTAAACAGGGGAAATAATAGCACAGTGTAGGCTTAGAAAAAAAATTACAAATTAATAATAAAATTTATAAATTGTAATAATTGAATTGTTATACTTTTTTCATGATTCTAATATTGTCCATTTTTCCTTACTAATTCATTTCATCCAAACGAAAGGATAAAGAGGAGAGCAAATATAATAATAATAATAAATAAATAAATTGGAGAAAGTAAAAGAGCATTACAGTTTCTGTAGGCGGGTAAGGTTACCAAGCTCCTGAGGAAGTGGTCCAGACATCTGATTGAACTCGAGGACTCTATAATATAAGCATCAAAAATTACAATTTTGACAACAAAGTGATATAAATTCTTCATAAGCATAAAAAATAAAAATAAAAAATGCATAGGAGCAATAATAAGAAGTTTACATGCTTTCAAGTGTGGCGATGTAATTGAACCTGTTATTCGATTTTCGAAAAGGGCTCTGCAATAACACTGTTTTTGTATTAAAAACATAAACATAAAAAATTTAGAATGTTATGGTCCGAACTTAGATTTTTGAATGGTGAGAATTTTTTTTCCCCCCTTCACAAATCAGATCATGAATTTGAAATTAAAAAACAATACAAAATGATATACTAGTAGTAAGTATATGTGCTTGGGTACATACATGTGCATTATTCGTGGCAAGGAACCCCATTCTGGAGGGATAGTACCATTAACATAATTCTTGGAGATGTCACTGTACAAATGAGGGAGTAATCAGTACGTAGTCAATTGACGTTTGCCTATTTAATAATTTTTGACTATTTACAAAAATTATGTAAAAAATAAAAATGTAATGTGATAATTTGTAACAAATAAATAAATAAATAAATAAATTACTTATTTAGCAATTTTCCAAACTCAACCTAATTATAATTGGTGATTTATTAATTTGGTGAGTATTTTTTTTTTTTTGGGTACATAAAAAATAAAACAGAAGTAAAAACAAGCATGCCTGCTAAAAGTTGATCATCTCCAAATTTTGTCATAGCATCAGCACACGTGTTCCGTTTGAATAGTAGTATACGACACTCTACTTTTATATCAGTACATTTCATTTTTGTCCTTATTATACTAAAGTTACAATAAACCTTTTTAATTTAAAATAATTTAATATAATTTAAAAAAAAATTGTTGTAATTTTAACACAATAGAAGTTTTAAATGTAAAATTTTTTTTATAAAAAAAAAAGTGTCTGTACAATAAGGGAGGGAGAATAACATTACAAAATGTTAACAGGGAAAATTTGATGTTTATTTTTTTATTATTTTGTGTTGAATCTCGTTTTTTATGCTCACTATTTAATGTATGCTTATAATTAGAAGCAGCGTTTATTAGGAATGGCAATGGGGGGCAATGGGGTGGATATTAATTCCCCATCCCCATTCTCCTATAATAAATTTTCCCCATTCCCCATTCCCCATGGGTACCACCCAAGGGGCCGTATAATAAAGATATATATATATTTTTAAATTAATTTGATTCTACCATGTTACAACACTTCCTTTTTCCTCCTAGAAGACAAGAGATGGTTGTCTCAAAAAGTACACTACGCGGACGGGCCCGGTCTAGTTGAGGCTCATGGGCCTACTATGTGTTATATTTTGAATGATTGGATTCATTATATTTTACTAAATGTTTCTTTCTTTTTATTTTGGACATTTTATTTTATGTTATAATTTTTGTTAGAACAATCTTCTGTGTAAATAAAATAAATAGAAACAAACCAAACAAATAAATAAATAACGTACTGAATTTATTTATCGAACATAATTTAAAAATAAAAGATCAAGTCGAGTGTGTGACACTCTGTCCTTAAGACAGATTCGCCACGCTACAGGGCTTACGGTTGTGTGGCGTCTATCTCCCAGGATATAATGATCTTCACAAATTGTGGTAGCACTCCAAACAATTTGTACGGCGAACCAAACCTGTGTTCTAACTCTCTGAATTTTATTTTAAAACTAAAATGAAGAATCGTGCACCAAAGATAAAAGTTTGGACAGCAAAAGGAATTTTTGAGACTAATTTTCAGATCACAAGACTGCTGGAACAGTAGGTATTTATAGGCAAAGATTTCTTGTCCGAACAGGTGTGAATCTGTCCAACAGATTCAGATTTGAATTTTGAACAGATACAAGACTGTTACGAACAAATTCAAACAGATCTGGCCCCTTTTGAATTCTGTAAACCGCTGGCAGTTACAACCGAAACTGCTGGGCAGTTTCTGGAAGTTTAATAACTGAAAACAGTTTGAATCTGTATGGAATTTGGACTGGAAAAGGCACAAAAAAGTTGGACAAAAAATGAATTCAAATTCGAATTTGAATTAAATTTTTCCGCAAGAAATTTGAAAAAATTCAAACGAATTTTGTTCAAAAAATTAATATTAGAACCGACCCAATCCATAACTCACACCCCGCGCCTGGCACGGCACGGCTCGACCGGCAAGACGAATGGCGGCGGTGGCGCGCGCGCGTATGTGGTGGTTTGGGTTAAGGTTCACTTTGTCCGTAACTCCTTCCTTCTACAACCTTGGGGTGCCCCTTGGGGACCAACCCAAGTGTTGTAGTCTAGAGCTTATATACATAAAAAAGCTCTCTTAAAGTTTAAAGTTTCAATGTGGGACAACCCATTAAAAGAAAACCACATTTAAATCTTTAAATGTCCATTCCACGAACCTGAAAATGGCGTCAAGTTCCCATTCACTCATAAATGGTTTTGACGAACCATCTTCACTGTGTGACTTGCCACGCGGCAAGGAACACGTTACCTCTTCGGACCCGCCCCAAAAAATGTTCGGGGCCCACTCAATTTTGGGTTCAAAGTTGGCCCAAAATAAGCCTAATTAAAACCAATTTCCCAACAATCCCCCACATTAATGGAATTTGACGGAGAGAAAATACAACAACATGATCTAAAAACAGAGAGTACAAAAATTGGAAATATTCTGCAAACGATAAGTAGCTTTTGGCTTTGAACCTTCCCTTGTGAGACACTATCGGATTTACTAACTAACCAGTGAACATGATGTCTTGAACTGTTTAGCCGTTTGTGTAAACTAAGACAATAGAACTCACAGTATATCCCCAGACACAGTTTAGTTCTCACTATTGTGTTTATTTTGGCCCTAAACAACCTGGTCTTTCATGGTTGCTCTAGAGAATTGTAGCCCTTCACAAATCTCATAGAACCGGCCCAGTTCACACTCACATAGGTGATTCTTATGAAGAGTATCTTGCCATACTCCACTAGGTTTACCTAGATATAAGAATAATTAAAATTTTACTTAACCTAAAACGCTGTAGACATTACTATTTCATCCTACAAATGGATAGGAGTTGGACTCCCCAGTGATCCTTCTGAGTCATACACAACTCGGTTGTCCCTTTGCTAGATCTTGGGATCTCCAGTCAACTAGGTTGGGTTTCCGTTGTAGTAACTCTTATTTAATAGGCTTTAGTCCCATTCCCCTCGATGAATTTTCAACTAACTCTCTTGTTTACCCTTTGGTTAGTGGATCCGCTATGTTGTCTTTAGACTTCACATATTCAATAGAAATAATTCCATTAGAGAGTAGTTGTCTTATGGTGTTATGTTGACGACGAATGTGTCGTGACTTACCATTATACATATGACTCTGTACTCTACCTATTGCAGATTGACTATCGCAATGTATGCATATAGTAGGCACTGGTTTTGGCCATATTGGAATATCTTCAAGGAAGTGGCGAAGCCATTCTGCTTCTTCCCCAACTTTATCTAAAGCTATGAATTCTGATTCCATAGTAGACCTAGCAATGCAAGTTTGTTTGGAAGATTTCCAAGATACAGCCGCCCCACCAAGAGTAAAGACATACCCACTGGTGGACTTTGAGTCTCTAGTATCCGATATCCAATTTGCATCACAGTATCCTTTAAGTACTGCTGGATATCTAGTATAATTAAGTCTAATGTTACGAGTAAATCAGAGATATCTAAGAACCCTTATAATTGCTTTCCAGTGTTCTACTCCTGGATTACTCGTATATCTACTTAATTTACTTACTACATAAGCTATGTCCGGGTGAGTGCAGTTCATCAAGTACATTAAGCTTCTAACAATTTGGGCATACTCTAATTGAGAAATACTTTCCTGTATATTCTTAGATAGAAACAAATTAACATCTACAAGTGTTCTAGCAAGATGATCATCATCTTTGCTGAATTTGTCAAGTATTTTCTCAATGTAATGAGATTGTGACAAGGCATAACCTACTGATATTTTGGTAATTTTCATACCAAGAATTATATCAGCAATGCCCATGTCCATCATGTCAAAATGTTTATTCAACATTTTCTTAGTAGTTTTAATCAAGTCATTATTACTACCTATGATGAGCATATCATCTACATAAAGACATACTATAACATAAACTTTGTCTGTGTTTTTAATATAAACACATTTGTCACACTCATTAATTTTAAATCCATTTGACATCATTGCCTTGTCAAATTTCTCATGCCATTGCTTTGGCGCTTGATTTAAACCATATAATGATTTAACCAATTTACACACTTTCTTTTCTTTTCCTGGAACAGAAAATCCTTATTGTTGTTCCATGTAAATTTCTTCATCTAACTCACCATTTAAGAAAGCACTTTTCACATCCATTTGATGAATTTCTAGATTGTACAAAGACGCAATAGTAATTAGCATTCTAATGGATGTTATTCTAGTAACCGGTGAGTATGTGTCAAAGTAATCAAGACCTTCTTTTTGTCTAAAACCTTTGACTACAAGTCTTGTTTTGTATTTGTCAATTGATCCATCCGCTTTTATTTTTCTTTTGAAAATCCACTTGTACCCAAGAGGTTTACAACCTGGTGGCAAATCCACCAATTCCCAAGTGTGTTTTTACAAGATGGATTCAACTTCACTACTGACAGCTTCTTTCCATAAAGAAGCTTCAGGACTGGAAATAGTCTCTTTAAAAGTTAAAGGCTCATTTTCTAACAAATATGTTGGAAAATCTGGACCAAAAGATTTTGAGGTTCTAGCACATTTACTACGCTTAGGTTCCTCTTCCTCATTTTGATCTAACTCTTGCTCTTGATCATGTTCTTGATCAATACTAGTAATAGCATCAAAAGATCTTTTGTTAATACTAGTCTATTGTCCAGTCTTATTTGGAAATACATGTTCAAAGAATGATGCATTCTGAGACTCAATAATAGTATTTACATGCATTTCGGTATGTTCTGATTTATAAATTAAAAACCGATATGCACTACAATTCTTGGCATAACCAATGAAAATGCAATTAATGGTCTTAGGACCTATCTTATTCTTTTTAGGACTAGGAATAGCCACTTTAGCCAAACACCCCCACACTTTTAAGTATTTGTAGGATGGTACTCTCCCATGCCACATTTCATAAGGTGTTTGATTCAATTTCTTTCGGGGTATTTTATTTAAAATATAATTCGCAAAAAGTATTGTTTTCCCCTGCAAGTTCTGTGGTAATCCATAACTTATTAACATGGCATTCATCATTTCTTTTAAAGTCCTATTTTTCTTTTCAGCAATTCCATTTTGCTGAGGTGAGTAAGGAGTGGTGGTTTGATAAATTATTCCATGTTCTTTACAAAACTCACCAAAAGGTGATTCATATT